ATAATAATTAGAAATAAAAAAATTCACCCAGTGTATGAAATTGCACTACATACAAATAATACCACACTTCTTAAAGTTGACATAAACTTCATGATTTCGTTGGTCAATACGAAAGGCTTCCTGATCTCAAATTGGTCAAGTTTTCTTTTCATTCTATTTTAGACTGTCATGGAATAAATCTTTCACAAATGAAGAAATGAGTGAGAGTGTGCTGTCATCTTTAAATCACTTTAATTCATGCTTTATCTCCCTGATGTATTATGTTAAAGGAGTAATTCTATGGCATATTGAATAATCTTTACCTAAGATCTTTTAACCAAGTGCCACTGAACAGAGTAAATTGCTTCAGGTGGTGAAACAATTTACTGTGTTCACTGTCTTACAGATTGCAGTGCCCTGCACTAAAACCAAAACCCACTGCCATCCAATCAACTCCAACTCAGAGCAATCCTATAAGACAGTAGAATTGCTCCATAGGGTTTCTCAGGCTGTAAATATTCAAGGAAGCAGAGGGCCTCATCTTGCTCCCACAGAGCACCTGGTGGGTTTGAACCACTATCCTTCCAGTTAGCAGCCCAACACTTAACCCACTGTGCCACCAGTGCTCCTATACTAAATACACTTAATATTTCAATGGCCTTGCAGAATATTTAATACACAAAGTCAACATTTGTTTATTTTAAATGTACAAATCATGCCATGAGACCATTCACTGTGGCCTTTATTATTGCAGATCCAAATATTTCAGTGGAAATACAACACTTGGTAAGCAAAACAGTTTCTATGGGACTTGAGAATAAACTCTGGTTCAATTTTATGTTTAACTTCCTTTTATAATATTTCAAGAAAACAAAATTCCTACAGACTCATTTCACCTGAAGACATTCTGATAAACAGAGGTATAAGAGAGCTAAGTAAATGGTTTTAATATTGTTTGTAACTTCAAAAGATTTGCATACAAGCATTGTTCTATTAACTGATGTCTACAATCTAGGGATTACTTATCACAGTGAAAATTAAAGTCAATATGAAGACATTTTTGTTGTCTATTTACAATAATATTTTTCTATGATTTCCAGTTCCTCTTCATTTTTGCAGATTCAAAGTCAACTCTCATGAGCTTTTTTAGTGCATCCTTCATGTCCTTATTCCTCAAAGTGTAGATGAGGGGGTTGAGACTTGGAGTGATGATGGTGTAAAAGAGGGTGAGGAATTTGCCCTGATCTTTGGAGGCACTGTTACCTGGCCGCAGGTACATGTAGATGATAGTTCCATAGAAAATGGACACCACAGTGAGGTGAGATCCACAGGTGTTAATTGCTTTCCGTTGGCCTGCTTTTGACTTCATTCTCAGCACAGCTCGGGCAATGTAACCATAAGATATAAGAATAAGGAAGAGGGGTGTAAGGACAAAGACAATGCCTAAAGCAAAAACAGACATCTCAACTGCTGTGGTGTCTACACAAGCTATCTTGATCATAGCTGGCAACTCACACAAGAAATGATTCAATATTGTGTTTCCACATCTAGGCAAATTCAGGGTAAGTGAACATAATACTAGAGAACAAGCCAAACAAATACCCCAAACTATGATAATCATCTTTAGACATAGATGTGGGTTCATGATTACCAAATAATGCAAGGGTTTACAAATAGCTGTAAAACGATCATAAGACATAACAGCCAGGAGAAGACACTCAGTGGAACCCAACCACATATAGACATAGAGTTGAATGACACACCCCACATAGCTGATGGTCTTATTGGGTCCCCACAAGTTAACCAGCATCTGAGGTACAATGCTAGTTGTGAAACACAGATCTAAGAAAGATAAATTCCTGAGGAAAAAATACATAGGTGTGTGCAGGCGGAAATCCAGGAGTGTTGCAAGAATGATGGCTGTGTTACCCAGCAATGTAATTAAGTAGAATATGGTGACAACTCCTGACAGGACCATCTCCAGTGTGGGGTGATCAGAGAAGCCAAGCAGAATAAAATCATGTAGAGAACTATAATTTCTTTGGTCCATAGTCTTTCAATGCTTAAGTCCTAAATTGAAAAGGGAAAAATGGAGGCAGAAGAAGAATCAAGAAGAGGAGGAGGAAGACGAGAAAAAGAAAAGGAAAAGAAAAAAATAATTTGTCACACAGACTATCCAGGTAATTTAATAAAATAAAGCACTAAACAAAGGAAGAGAATTTACATTAATAATTGAAAAAATAAATGAATGTGAAATATTATAGTCATGTAACCTAAAATTTTGGCAGTTTCTTTTGTGGTGGTAAGTTCATAATTCCATTTTCTAGCTAGGTAACCTTAGGGAATTTACTTACAAGAACATTTCAGAGTTTGGGATAGATGTTTTTCTAAAATGATGTGACCCTGTGATTCTTTATTAAACTAGTTATTTGATATAATGAACATGTTCTCTTACATTGTTAAAGAACTCACCTATAAATGAATCTACTGGCTAATCATAGAACAAAGTAAGAGTGGTCCTCTTTTTCCATACGTCAGTGAGAAGCACTTTTGATCTGTCAACTTGTTATATAAGAGATCTGGCATTTCTCATTGGCACCTCACCCCTTCATCCTCAGTATATATTTTTATTAGTGTTAGCAAACTGGTATATTTGAATACAAAAATGTATGGTAGCTATCTTCTTACCTTTTAATTTTTTAACCAGCTAATGGACTCCTGGTGTAGTGCTTTAGGATATGCACTGGACTGCTAACCTCAAGGTTAGTGACTCAAATCCACCAGCCTCTCCTCTGAAACCCTATACAGGGTTGCTATGACTTGGAACCAACTCAATGGCACTTAACAACAGCAATGTCAACCATTGTCATCTCTCTTCTAGATTCTGATAACAATTTTTTAACCTTACAGAATTGCTGTAGTCGGAACTGACTCTATGGCATTTAACAACAATGACCTTTACATCTAGTCTAAGCCCCTTTATTTTGTTACAGGATTTAATAAGATTATATAATCTGTGTACTTAAAAGTTGCCGATGGCTTTTCCGTTATACTTTTTCTTCATTGCATTAAGAAGTCTGCACAGTCTTTAAAATGGTCAAGATAGACCTGGGTGATTTGTTTCCTTCCTGGCCTCATTATTGTCTCACAAATCACTTTATCCTTTTTCACTGTTAGTCCTTTCTCAGTTTTTTGACAGGTCAATCTCATTCCCATCTAAAGCATATAGAACTCTTCACCTTCTTCTCTGGGTACCTAATATTCTCTCTAAAAATGACATTTCGACTCTCTCTAAAATGCTTCTTGCTTAAAGAGGAGTCACTAATCCCTAGAGATGCAGCAGCCCTTCTCAAATATATATAATTTTTGACTCAACGAAAAGTTAACTTATACTATGACTATTGATGAAAAATCACTTAACATTATTAGTTAACATTTTCCTTACATTAAAATTTTAGGCTAGCTGCTTGTGAAACTACCTAAAGAGGATAATAATAAGTAATTGATTAATGAAAAGGCTGTGGTTTTATCTATGTTGTAGTAGCAAATAACCAATTTATTCAGCTTAATAAAACATAATTTAAAATCTCTTTCTCCATTGAAAGGACTAATAAGTTAGACATGCTGTAGTAGTGTCAAACAGATACAGTTCCTCTAAGTCTTCATGAACATATCACAACTGCCACTTTTAATAACTGAACAGATTCTTAATAGACCACTCAATTTCCTATTATTGAATATAGAACAATAGCTTTTAACCACTTGAAGCAAAAAATAACCAGAAAGTTTCTGTTAAAAGATAATTAAGAGGAAATATTTTATTGAAAAATAATAGTTAAGTATCAAACTGGTGTGTATGTGTAGACGAAATGCAAAAATTGGTTTTTATTTGCTATACCATTTAAGTGAATTTCCTGAATATTATGAAGAACTTACTTTAGACTGTGGACATAATGCAGTGGTATACACATTCACCAGACTAATTAAATATATGTGTACTGGTCAACACAGTCATCTCAAGATACATAACAGGTAATTTCCTCAGAATTTGTTTTCCAAGAATAATAATTTGAGCCTGGTTTCTGCCATTGACCAAGATACACAGAAGGGAAAAATACAACTCTTTGAAATGTATCAGAAGCTATCACACACCATTTTTGTTGTTGTTATTAAAGTGCCGTCGAGTCGGTTCCGACCCATAGTGACCCTATATAGGGTTTCCGAGGAGCTCCTGGTGAGCCAACCATGCGGTTCAAACAGACTTTGCAGTCCTGCGCATTAACCCACAAAACCACACCGGAAATCCATCACATACCAATTTGTTGTTGTTGTTGTTGTTGTTAAGTGCTGTCAAGTCAGTTCCAACCCATAGCGACCCTGTATAAAGTTTCCCAGGAGCTGCTGGTGAGCTTGAACCACCGACCTTGCAGTTCAAATGGATTTGCAGTTTGGTGCATTAACCCACAGCGCCACACCAGGACTCCATTAGAGTTCTATAATATCTGAACAGGGGGATGAATAAATAATTTTATTTATTTTGGTTCATACTTGGTGTGGGTAATTATGCCTAACTTCTGAATAAAATATGAAAATCATACTAAATTTAATGAATGTGTTAATTTTTATTAAGTTACAATTATACAAAATTTAAATTCAGTAAAATTATATGAATGAAAAAAATTTTAAAGATTTTTAAAATTAGATTTCAACCCATCTGTTAACTAGTTAACTACTTTCATGATCACTATAGAAATCTTACAGGATAGCTTTGAGTCAGAAATGACTACACTTAACAATAACAACAACAAAGATAAAGTCGGAAATATTTTTAAATGTTCCTACTGAACTTGATGTGGCGCTGTGGGCTAATGTGCTGGACTGCAAGGTCTCTTTGAACTGCAAGGTAGGCGGTTCAAGTCCTTGGAAATGCTATACAGGATCGCTATGGGTCAGAACCCATTCAATGGCACTTCGCAAATAATTTCCCATGCATAAACAATTTTAGAAATGGACCAAAATACCTGAGTCCTCTTTAGCTTCACAGTCTTCATGAATAAAATACAATATTGCAATTCTTCTTTTCCTATTTAATTTGCAATTTTCTTCTTTTATTTTTGTTGAATCCAAATATCTGCAATTATTAATAAAGAAACAGCTTTATGTGATTGTTTTATAGTGAGGAATAATTTTAATATTTCCCTCATCATGTAGATAGAAAGGAAGATTTTTCTGCAGATATTTACAGTAGGTATTTAATCTCAGATTTCAGAAGAAAGGCCACAAGAATCAGCCCATACAAGTTTCATAAATTTTCTTTCTTCTCCCTCAGACTAATTGTGTTACCAATTCAGGCACTGTTTTTTAAGTGACAATACAGATTTATATTACTGTGGTTCAGAGCGATGTTCTGCTTCTCGACTTTTGTGGAACCCACTCTGAAGACATCAGGTCTGGTTCAGCATTAGCTCTCCAGGCTGCAGCTATCTCCTGTGTTCTTGCCGTGCAAATGAGATTTCTGCTGCTTTCCTGGCATGTGCTAAGGTATAGATTCTTGGCAAGACTCCTCCTGCTTGAACATGTGACTTCAGATAAGGGCATGAAGGCTATGACCATTTTAAGTCTCACTATTTTAAAGGAGGAGTGCTGGTGAGGCACTATAAAATAAACACATCAACACAGGACTGCTAACCGAAAGGTCAGCACTTCAAGCCCACCAACCACTCCTTGGAAACCCTGTACATAGGGTTGCTATGAGTCAGAATGACTTGATGGTACTTAACAACAACATTTTAAAGGAACTTTCAGGTAGGTCTTGAGAGAAATATTACACAAAATAATCAGATAATTTCACTGACTTCTGGATGGTTTAGACTACCAACCTTTCTGTTACTTAACTTGCTAAACATTTGTACCACCCAGGGAGTCCAATTCAGAAAAAGAATAGAAAAACATTTCCCAAAATTGCCTAGGCAGATCATCAATAAAGATTTATCTAAGCCACTTAGGACTGCATCCAATTGTTTTCCCAAAAGTGCTATACAAAAAGCCAGTTGATGAAGAAGTTGGAGAATTAGACCATATCCTGATATTTCACAAAGAAAAATTGAATAAATATAAAACTCATTCAAGATGAAAGAAAACTATAAAGCACAGAAATGAGAAAACGTTTTCAATTTTTCCAAAAGAAATCTAGATGACGAATTATACTGCAAATAACAGAATTTGCTTTGAAACAGTGTACCATTCCAATTCCAACACTTGAATTTTAACATACAATAACTCTATAAAATAATCATACCTTTAATAATACACATAATAATTTTGGAAATAAAGACTCTGGTCGGATATATAGACAAGGCACCTGTAATAGTTACCTCTGACTCCTAAGCTCTGACACCCAAAGTCTTCTTTACCTGTGAAATAGGTGTTCAGTCTCCAAAGCTCTCAACAGTAAATTGAAGATTGTAAGAAATGTATGTTTTTAACCAGTGCTAACATATCTTTGTTTTGTTAACCACCATTGGTGACTCAAAGACTTCAATGCCTATGACAATTAGTTTACTGGTAACTGAGGTCACTATTTACACTCTGGGTCCTGCAGCAAGTGTATGCTCTGAAGATTCTTATGAGTTAGTTTATAATCATTAAATTCTAAGCAGTGCCCCCGAATTAGAACTATATACTATTACCAATAATTGCTTAAATATACAAACGCATTTTCAGCCTCATGTCTAATGAGGATGACTTCTTATCATCAAACATTGAAACAATTTAAAAAATCTGCCTCTTTATGACAGCAATCATTGCATTCTGCATTTGAGAGAGAGAGTGTAGTGTGATGATTAGAATAACTAATTCTGGAGTCAGGGTTCCTGAGTTCAAATCATGGTGGTTTTGTTACTTGTTATTAGGTGCCATTGAGTCAGTACCAACTCATAGTGACCCTATGCACAACAGAATGAAACACTGCCTGGTTCTGGGCCAACCTCACAATAATTGCTACACCTGAGTCCTGCAGCCATTGTGCCAATCCATCTAGTTGAGAGTCTT